CCCCGCCGCCCGCCGCGCAAAGCCCGGCTGTGCGGAGGAATTGGCTGGGGTGAGCTCCGTCGCGGAGGCCTCACTTGGGGGAGAAGGTGGGTTCGACTCTTTTCCGAAAGGACGCTGCGTTTTTGCGCTGTCGCCCGTCCCCTCCCGGGCTCCGCGCAGGCCAAGGGCGCCCTCTGGCGACGGGGCCCGGCGTCGGCCCGGTGTCGGCCCGGGGCTGCCTCGGCCTTCTCTTCTTCCAGCCGGTCAGACAGAGCGCCATCAGCAAGCGCCTCTAGCCGGCTACCAAATGTATTCGTAATAAAGCCACGGTAAGTGGACGCAGCTGAGCGGGGCAGCGCGAAGCGCGAGGCGCGTGTGCGCGTGCGCCGGGCCAGCCTCTCCACGCGAGCCGGGACCGGCCGCTTCCCCTGGCCCCGGCTGCGGTTCCTGGCGTCCGGAGCCGCCCCCTGGCGGTCGCCAGCGGTACAGCAGGAACCCGGGCCCTGGCCGCTCCCTGGCTGAACTCAGGTTCTCGGTGTTTAGTTTCGCTTTTTTTTTAATGGTATTTTAAATGATATTTTTTAAAGTATCTGCTGCGCCTGCGGCCCTTGCTGGACACTGGAAATCTGCTGGTCAGTGCCAAGTCCCTCCAGGAAGCAGTTTCCTTTCTTGTGGGGGTGAACGGGTGGCCAGTGAGAGGCGAAAGCTTGTGCGCACGGCTTAAGTATCACATGGCTTCTCTCACGGGAGGCCAGAGTAAGGAAGGAGCAACCGGAAGGTGGGTAGCAGGCAGGAGGCAGATAGACCTTTCTCTCCAGAGGTGGAGGAGGGCGGCCCGGGGGCAAGAAAGGGGTCCAGGAGGCCGTGAGCCCGCAGCTCGCACGCACTGAGACTGGAAGCAGCCTGCGTGGCCAGCGCAGGAGCACCCTCTCGCCTGGAGTTCAGCCCGGACCGCTGGGTCCTGGGGCTGTCCGCACACTCTGTTCCCTGGGTGGAAAACGCTGCTCGTTCCTTTCTCCTCTCTCCTCCCTTCCGCCTTCTCTCCTCCTCTGGTTCCCTTTCCCCCTTTCGTCCTTTCTTCTCCTTCTTTTCCTTCCTCCAACCTTCGTCTCTTTCTGTCCTCACTGGCGTGGCTGAGCCCGTGCTGAGCAGAGCGAACACAGGAGCCAAGCGGGCGGGCTCGGGAGGGCAGGCGGCCCCTCTTCCCTCGGGGCTGGCGCCACAGCAGGTGTGGCTCTGCTCTGTCCCGCGTCCGGCCTGGCCTCACCCTCACCCCGACGTGCGCACGCGCACACACGTGCACACGCCCCCCTTCCTGGCCCACCCAGCCCCGCCTAGCAGACTAATGCTTCACCCCTTGCCTTCCCCGGGCTCCCCCCCACTTGAGGCTGCTGTGAGCCTGCAGACGAATCACAGGATCCCGGGACAGTCGGCCTGTCAGCCCGCCCGCGCTCTGGTGATCTACTGCCACTTAGGAAACTGCCTCAGAACCCAGTGATTTAGAACAATCGCCGTTGTGTTGCATGCACGTTGTGGGCCACACGTTCTGCAAGCTCACCAGGGAGTTCTCTCGTGTGGTGTAGACCAGGGCGAGGGAAGTCTTCGGCGGGCACATGGTCAGGAGGGTCCCAAGGGGCGTCACCCACACACCTGACGCCTCAGCGGGGACAGCTGGGAGGCGGGGCTCAGCAGGAACTGCCCGGGCGTCCTCAGCGCGGCCCGGCCAGCAGGGCCATCTCGGGGGGCCTCTTACGTGGCAGGCATCCCCCACCTCCAAGGGGGGTTGGGGAAGACGCCGAGGGGAAGTTGAAGGCCGCGTCTGACAGCCCCCATGTTCCCCGCATGGCCTCTGCCCGTTCTGCTGGGCAAACGAGCCCTTGTGCAGGAGGCGCAGACAGACTCTTCCTGCCCCTGTAACTTCGGGCACCTACTTCCACCTTCCCCAGCCAGCCGCGGTGGTCTTGCAGACACCAACTGCCGTTCTAGTGAACAGAGCCTGTCCACGGGCGTCCGCAGCCCTTTCCCCTTTCAGGGCCCAGCCGCGGGGCAGGGCCCGGCCCTCCTCCGCCCTCTGCCTTCCGCGCTCTGCCTTCCTCGCTTTGGGCCTCGCTCACCCTGGGCTTGGCCCTGAAACAGCCCCGTCTTTCCTGAATGTCGGCTTCTCACCTCTGCTCCTCTTTTCTCTCAGATACAACTCTTAACTGCAGTGTCTTTAAGAATCATAACAAACTTAAAGTACACACATGAAGCATTTTGCCCTTTCAATGTATTTGTAGGGTTTGACTTTATATTATGAAAGCGATCTCAAATCCAATAGAGAGGGAGAAAAGCCTAAGAGAGGTGACAGTGACCTATTGTTTTAAAAATGTATATTTTTGTGTGTATGTCCACCAAAAATGTCAACAGTGAGAGCCACTTTGTTAATCGGTCAAAATATGGTTTCTGGTACTTCTTATTACCGCACCCTAAAGAAAAGTGCTGATTGGCCGGCCGGTGGCTCTGGGGCTCTAGAGCACTTTGCAGGCACCCGGCATACACGTTCACAGCGCAGCAGCCCCAGGAACTGTCAGACGGGCCACACCCCCACATGGGATATTTTCCTAAGAACGCAGGTGATTTAGCCTAAGAGAAAGCTCTCTCCTGCTTTCTGAAGATGTCCCTGTTGCCCATCACAGTGATAAAAATCCAGGAATTGTTCCAAGATGGCGCAGAGCTAAGGCAGAGGCGTGGGAGAGGTATCCGAGCCAGGGCCACGGAGCTGGGTGTGCCCAGCCTGTCTGGACAGGGTGACAAATCGTAGCAACGGCAGGGGCTTCACCATGGCCACGGCCCCCTTAGGATCGGCGGACAGACGACTGGGGCTGTTGACTTCTGCAGGTCACAGTCCTGGGTCCAGAAGGGGAAGGGAGGCAGACTCCCAGGAGCCAGGCGCTGTCCCCAGCAGGGAGCAGGACGCGCAGGGCTGCGGGCACCAGGCCCTGGCACCTTGGCTTAACGCCTGCCTTGCTGGTCCTCCAGCGAGGCTGTGGTCACCATGGTGACCAGGGGGCCAGCAAGGGCTGTGAGAGCATCCACGAGGCTGAGGGAGGCCTGGGACGAAGCACAGGCAGGCACGGGACTTCCTGTCCTCCTGCCCCCATCCTGCATCCCCACATGGCCATGCACTAGAGACCTTTACTTCATTTCCACTCCCTGAACTGACAGCACCGACCTGTGGGATCTCAGCCAAGTCCCGAATTCCTCTGGGCTTCATTTTCCCCCCTGGCCCAATTGAAAATAAGGACAAAAACCCTGTTCAGTACCCACCCTTTATTCCAGCTAGACTTGAATAGAATGCATGTAATGAGCTCTAAATATATATGCCAGGCACTGTGCTAAAACCATCCGTTCTATTATATATGCTCTTCCAACAGCCCCCATCTGAGGCAGACTCATGGTGTATCATCATCCGTGAATTTACACCCAAGGAAACTGAGGCACAGAGAAGTTGAAGAGCTGTCCCAAGTCGGTAGAAGGACCAGGACTCGCACCATGGCTGGCTGTGGACTTGCAGCCACCCTGCTGTGCTCTGAGCCTGAGGCCCTGGAAGGTCAAGGCCAAGCTTATTTCTCTGTAAGGGACCCAACTGCTGCACAGCAGGAAAGAGGCAGGGCCTCCACTGAAAACCAGGGCTTTTCTGACTAAAATCCACCTCTTCCGTACCCTGCTGTAGCAGTGCCCATGTGCTGTTTATAGCAGCGAACTCCTAGAAGCATAAATGGAGATGTCCAATGTTATGTGGTGTAGCTATACAAAATAACAGGCCTTAAAATTATATGGAAAAATATTTATTTATGGCCAAAGGTGTTCGAGATATACTGATGTAGAAGGCAGTTATGAAGCAGTATGCAATTTCAATTTACATGGAAAAGGTAGTAAGAGAGAAGAGTGAAATACAATTTCTAGCCCATTATATCGCCGTAAATGTAAATGGCCTGACAATACCAACGCTGATGGAAATATGTGGAAATGAGAAACTTTATCTACTGCTGCAGGGAGTGCATATTGGCAACAACCCTCTGGAAATCAACTTGGCAATCTTGAAATGGGGGTAACCTTCAACCCAGCAATTTCACTTCTAAAAACACATCTTGGGAGAAATTTACAAAGTGTGCGAGGAGAGATTACGGCTGTAGCTCAGTGGTAGAGTAGGCACCTTGTATGCATGAGGCTGTGAGTTCAATCCCCAGCACCACACACACACACACACACACACACACACAAGGAAATTTGGGTGGGGGATTTTCCTTGCACCATGCAAAACACTGGTCTCAAAATAATAAAATATTGGAAACAACCTAAACTTTAACAACAAAAAAAGCAAACCAGTTAATGCCACATATATCAACATGGATAGATCTGAAAACAATGGAAATAATAGGTTGCTGATCAATACACACAATAATTGCCATTTATGAAAATAATGCAAACACACATACCAGACACACATGCATATTACCTTACCATTTATCCATTCTGCTAGTGAGTGGTACAGGTTAAGAGCACACTACACTTTCTGTAGTAAAATTTTTTCACCCCCTTTCCCCAAGAGTGCTTTGATCTTTGTAAAATAAGAAGAGTATATTTCCATTGGAGAAAATGCTCCCCAAATATTCATAGTGGCTTTTAGTGTTGAGATTAAGACAATTTATATTTACCTTTCTTTGAATATCTGTATCTTCTAAATTTTTCACATTGAACATCTATTACTTTTGTACTAAGAAAAATAATTTATATGCAAATCCTTGTTGAGTCTAGGACCACTATGAGGAGTTCAGTGCCCCCTATATTTTTGTCACCACACTTTGTGGTAGCCAATCAGTGTTTCTACTCAGAAATTCAATGTTAGCCACTAGGGGAAGATAGTTAGAATTAAAACCAGCTCTCATGCAAAATAAAACAAAAAGAAGTTTGGTGCCAGGGCTGACATTTACAAAACTCCCGCGGCCAGGATCAGCCTGCTTATGGAGACTCCAGAGCCTGACTGCCTTGAGCAGAGCCATGACAAACTCAGCTTTTGGAGCCACATGTGAGACAGCGGTTTACACCTGCATTTGAGTCCTCCATGGGCAGGGTGTGTGTGTGTGTCGCGTGGCGAGGTAGGCGCTGGGTGCCATGTTGGAATGCTCGCAGCCATACTCAAGAGGGAAGGAAAGGCTGCTGTTAAATAAGTGATTGGAGAACTTAGGAACTGCAAATGCAGTGAGTGATTTGAGGGTGCAGGGCATGTTAACAGGGGGATCTGGCCTGGTTTGGGAGCTCACAGGTTTCCCCAAGGAGGCGAGTTATGCTGAGACCACAGCAGTAACAGGAGTTGGCTGTAAGAGGGAGGGAAGGGGTCCACGTAGAGGCCCTGAACATTCAAAACAAGGGGCACAAGGGATTCACAAATCTGAACGAGGCCACGGTGACTGGGGAGTAGAGAAAAGTCCATGTGTTCAGCTTCTTTTTCCCCATTTTATTTTAAACACAAAAAAACCATTACCCCCCCCCCCCAAAGCCACACTTCACTAGAAACGTTACTGAAGTCTTTCCAGAGGTTTCAGGGAAAGCAATCTGTGGACACAGTGCTTCCTGGGAAGTGTGGAGGAAGGGACACGCTGGCCAGGGAATTAAGACTGCTGAGTCTCCTCAGCTTGCGATTGCAGCCATGTTCCAACCTGGCCCCTTTGCACCTTTTTAGGAGCTTCCTGATTTGATGTCCTAAACTCCCTCTTGCTGTTTCCTGGAATACAATTTTGTCTTTTAAGTGGACTGGAAATTCTGTCACCCCGATGGGGTCCAGCCCATAGGAGAGAGGCTGCTCACAGGGACAGCCTTGGGGCACATCTGGTGCTGATGAAAACAGGTTTCTTGCCTCTGCGGGGCAGGCTCTGCCATTTCCCCAGGGGTGATTTCCCTCTGGGTTTGGCCCTGAGTGTGGATGCTGTAACCCAGTAAGGTCACCTGAGAAGTTTGACTTGTGACCTTTACCTGGGCGGGGGCAGAGTGTCCACCAGAGTGATGAGCAGAGTGGGCACCCACATCGTGGGGACCCCACCCTGACACCCACACTCCAGGCACGCGGGGACCGGCCTGGCCAGAACCGACTTCTGCCTGTTTGGGGACAGCTTGCAGGGTGGATTTCTGAAAATTGCCTGTTAATGTGTGTTGCTCATTTATCTGCTAAACTTTTCCTTTTTATTACTGAATCACAAGAACTTCCTACATATACTATGAATATTTTCCCTATTTTATGCATCCTTTTAACATTGTTGAAGAAAAACAGAAGGTACCAAATCCAAGCAGCATTTCTGGTCTGTTCCCTTAGCCTCTCTCTCGTGTTTCACACGACCGCTGGCTGGTGCTGGGGGGCCTCGCCCGTTACTCTTTCCCCCTAGGCTTTCATACCATCACATCCCTCGCTTTTTCTCCCCTTTTGTGGCTGGGCCTTCCTGCTCTCTCTCCTGCCCTCTGCCCACTTAAACACCCAGGACCCCCAGGCTTTTCACCAGGGCTCCCTCCTGCTGCGCTCTCCCCAGCGGATTCCCACCTCCTCCCGCATTTCAGTTACCCAGTGACCACCGCGGCCTGGTGGCTCCCACTTCTATGGTGTCACTTCCGGTCTCCTGACCTGCAGACTCCAAGGTCCTAGAGTCCTGTGGACATCTTTCCTTGGGTGTCTCCCACGAACCTTGAAATTGACAGAAATCACCATCTTCTCTTTTCCTCTCTCCTTATCTTCACAATGGCCGCACCATCCATCCAGCTGCCTTGACTCCTGCCTTGCTGCCTTCCGCGCCTCCAGACACTCAGCCAGGATCGGAGAGTTTGCCTCCTGAAGATCTTCAGTTCCACATTCTCCATCTCACACCTGCAACCCCAGTTCATCTCCCTCTGGACTGCTCCAGCAGCCTCCCAAACCTTCTTCCCTTTAACTCCACTGCAGACAGAGTTACCTCCCAAAAAACGCATCTCATCAAGCAAATCCCCTGTTAAAATCCTTTAATGGCTCTCGTTATACTCAGGGTAAAACCTAAATCCCATTATAAAGGGTGCCCCAGCTGCTTCTCTGCTCAGCTTTTCAGCCCTTCTTCTTGCTTCTTACCTTGTGCTTTTCATTAAAATCTGACAGGACTATATTTCACTGAGTGTGGCAAACTGGCATCATTATATTATGTGACGTTAAGAAACATGCTAACAAGTAAAATTATAAAACATCTTATATTGTATGGCATATCAAATTGTGGAGATGCTGAAGTGGGAGAGAAATAATGGGTTCTGTATCAATAAAACACTGTTCTTCTGTTAGCTCTGTAGAACCAGCTTCCATCCTACCTGGGCCCTTTCATCCGAATTCTGCTTCTTCCTCCCCTGTTAGGCTCC